CTCCAGCATCTGCAGTTCCTACCATGACTGAAATATTGTGTTGGTTTTCCCTCTCATGATGCTGAGTGAATCATGTTACTGGTTCCTGGGGTGAGAAATATGCTGGGTCACAATCCAATCCTCACATAAAGCTGATGGGAATAGTTTCACAGGTGGATAATTTAAATGTTTTGTAAAGGTTCTGAACAGTGATTTATTTCGATTGATTTGTGAGCACTGGAAAGGAGAGTGTGTTTTTACAAGGGGAATCTCAATGGCTGTGTGCTTGATTGATAGTTTTCGGAACTTCTAAGAGCGGTGAGTTTGAATGGCTGATTTTTTTTCTTTAACTTCCATGACCCCTTCCTAAACTCCTCAGTATTATTATAAAGCTCTGAACACAGCAGACACTGGATGAATGAATATTAAACATAGGAATAAAAACCAAAAGAACTGCGGATGCTATAAATTAGGAACAAAAACAAAGTTGCTGGAAAAGCCCAGCAGGTCTGGCAGCATCTGTGAAGGGAAAAACAGAGCCAACGTTTCGAGTCAACGTGCTGAGGAAGGGTCACCGGACTCGAAACGTTAACTCTGTTTTTTCCTTCGCAGATGCTGCCGGACCTGCTGGGTTTTTCCAGCAACTTTGTTTTTGTTAAACATAGGAATGTTAGGAGGAGGATCCTGTCCTGAATGAATCAGCCACAGAAAAGCAGGGAGAAGTCCACCCTCTATGCCGGAATAGTGTTGCAGGTGCAAATCCACCTCTTTTTTTGACACTTGCAGTGAAAATAGTTCAGTGGGGAGAGATGTAAAACCAGATGGTGATCCATAAAGTACACAAGCTGGCAGGAACCGGGAAGCAGGAATTCCTTGCAAAGGTTTTGATATGAAGTGTGAAGAACGAGGGCTCCTCACCTGAGTGCCTAAGAGCAGAAAATCCTTGCTCATCTTCCCAATCCCAGGTGAGATCTCTCCCAGTGAGAGAGGACAAGAGGCCCTGGTTCGGAGCTGCATCTGCAGGCTGCTGGTACCAGTTTACATTGACAGTGCTGTCAGATTCAAGGAAGACATGTCAGTGGCATGAAAGAAGATTTGAAGATCCCGTCTGAATTCGTTTTCTCCTCAATACCCTATGAACGGTGGTGGTGACCTGCTTCCCACCCATTCCGGGTCATTTCTGGGATAAAGTCTCTCAGGATATTAGCCAATCTTGCAGTAGGAGATGGCTTTTACAGGATCAGGAGGAGCTATTCCACTCCAAGCCACAGCTCCCAACCCACACACCAGGCTGAGACTCTCTCAATAAAACAATCCTTCAAAATTTACATATCAATGATGTTTAATGATTTAATGATGAAGGCAGTTTGCATAAAACTCTGCTTTGAGTTTTGAAGTGTGAATTAAGGGGTTTGATACGATAAACAGATAGAAATTACTTCCTCTTTTGTTGGGTGGTGGTGGTGGCTGAGTCCAAAATAGGGACCGGAACTTTAAAATTACAAGGAATACTTTTTGAGACATTCTGGAATTTTTGTCTCCAAAATGCTGGGTATAAATGCACTTTTTCAAGACCAACATTGACAGCTTTTTGTTTGGTGAGGACATAGGGATAGGGACTAAAGGCAGGTTAATTAAATTTATCAGTCATGATTGAATTGAGTGGAGAAACCGGCTTATGGGGCTGAATGGTCCCTCCTATTTATGTGTGACTGTGACCCAACTAGTGGGACACAGTGTCCCACAGCCGGGTTACTTCTGAAGGCACAAAGGACGTACTGTGGAGTGGAGGAATGAGCAGGCTGTGGCCCAAGAAAGTCAGTAACTTCTCTTCCCTGAGGGATACTAGGGAAGCAGTTGAAAGTTCACAACAACCAGAGTTTTTGATGGTAATAATTATTCCCTGGTGCAAGCCACAAAATGATTAAATCATTCCACTTCTGCGAGGCTAGGCTTTGAACTCTCAGCCTCAGAGTTGCTGGTACAACATCCACGCCGCAGTTAGGCTAAAGGGCACTAATTCCGCCTCGGTTTCCGTAGGGCTCTGCTAGTTTGCCCCCTCTCGTTGGAGCCCCTGAGCCTACCTGCTGGTACAGTCCCCAGTGTAAGGGTCACAGCTTTCAGGGCAGTCACATGGCCGGCAGCCATATTCTCCGAGGCCCCAGTATCCCAGCATGCACCTGTCACAGTGGGGCCCAGCCACACCAGGTTTACACAAACAGTCGCCGGTCACGGGGTCGCAGGGGGCACGGGGCTGTGAAGGTAACATGGCAGAGCCAACAGGATGGCATGAGCAGGCTAGAAACAAACACATAAAGAAAAGATCTTCAGATCATCCAACAACATCCTGGGGTCATTACTGATCAGAAACTCAACAGGCCTCACCACAAATACAGATGGTGACAAGAGCAGGCCAGAAGCTATGAATACTGTGGTGACTCCCCAAAGCCTGACCATCATCTACAAGGCACAAGTCAGCAGTGTGATGGGATACCCTCCACTTGCCCTATTGAGTGCAGCTCCAACAACACTGAAGAATCTTGACACCATCCAGGACGAAGCAGCCCGCTTGATTGGCACCACATCCACAATCATCCACTCCCTCCACCACCGATGCTCAATAGCAGCAGTGTGCACTGTCTACAAGACAGCACCTTCCAGACCCACAACCACTTCCATCTAAATGGGCAAGGGCAGCAAATACATGGGTACACCACCCCTGCAAGTTCCCCTCCAAGCCATTCACCATCCTGACTTGGAAATATAATGCCATTCCTTCACTGTTCCTGGGTCAAAATCCTGGAACTCTCTCCATAAGGGTAGTGTGGGTCAACCCACTGCACATGGACTGCAGCAGTTCAAGAAGTCCGCCCACCACCACCTTCTCAAGGGCAACTAGGGATGGACAATGCCTTCTTGACTTCAGTGGGCACAGCAACTGTTTGGCATACAACAGTCTGGCATACAACAACTATTTCAAGGTAGACCCTGCCAATAAAGGAATTATTTTCATAAACAAAAAACAAAATAGAAATGGCAGACCAGTTCATGTTTCTTGCACCTTCCGCAGACAATACCAGGAGAACACACAGAGTGAGCATTGCCTTTTTGCTGGTATTTGCTAAAACTTCAACAGCTTTCACAGTTTATAATTAGGGCTTTATTTTCCTGAAGACAGCAGAATGCAATCAGGATCTTGCTGACTAGGAGGTGTCACAACCCCTTCACTACTCTGCACCTAGAGGTAAAACAAATGCTTCCCACACTTTCCAGCACAGCTTCAGACTCTTTCCCTCCTTCATCCTTCAGTAATGGAATACGACTGGAATTCTGCAATTGGTTTAAGAGATCAGTCTGCAGGCTTGGTCTATCAGCATAAATGGAATTAGCTTTATTGTCACATTACTCAAATAGCACAGTGAAAAGTTTACAAGTTGCTGCTTATGTTGCCATCTTAGGTACCAAGGTACTGAAATACAAATTCTGAGGGAAAAAGTAGTTAGAAAAATAAAGTAAATAAAGTTCAGTGTGTAGAATGGAATTGTTTGAAACAATCCTGCAGAGGTGGAGTCAGGAATGATGATTTTTTTTGCTGCAGTTATCATAATCCCTCAGCCAATATCAAAACTCAATGGAGAGAAAATGATTTCCATTCGCAAATATCTGGGAACGTTGGACATAGAATTTATCTTTGGGGAAGATTTATCAGCCAAAAAAAGGTGCTAAATAAATATAACTTTTCGTTGTTTTTCACAATGCAGAAAATTGGAGATGCAGCATGTGAGTTATCTGAGATTATGAGCCATTGCCTTTATTATCCCTCCCTAAATCTCACCGACCCCTCTACCTCACTCACTCCTTCAAGTCTCCATGTTTGAGCAAGCTGCTGGTCATCTGAACCAAATAACTCCTTAAATGGCTCAGTGTCATTTATTGTTTCATAATTTCTCTGTGAAATACATTGGGATGTTTTGTTACATCAAGGGTGTTATATAAATTTACGTTGATGAGTAATATATTTGGGAGGAGGATGTGATTTTTTGAACCAATAGCTCCCACAGCTCTCCAGTGTTGGGTTTTCCTCGCTTCGTGTCTGGTCTGATCAAAGTGTTAGCTTAATGTATCACGGGATTAGCAGGGCCGGAGGGGGTGGGGGTGCAAGGCTAGTATCAGTTTGCTGCTGGCCGCTCTGGGTCAGATTGGTGCCAACTTTTCCTGTTCTGCCTGGGCTGGTGGATTTGGCTTTACCCCATGGTGGAGATTATGGCACTGGGTTGCACCTGCCTTTCAGGCACAGAACTGAAGGTGGTTACATTTCTCCTCTAATCCAGTCGTATCTATCTCCCTCCTGGGTCTGTGAGCACTGCAAGTAGAAGTGATCCCATGTTAACAGCATCACGTACTAGAGGGCCCCCACGTTAGTGTAACTTGAATCGCGGAGTGTAAACCTGATGGGTGGAATTGACCAGCCTCCTCTTTTCTTTTGTATCAGGTTCCTGGCAAAAATCAATTTCACCCAAGCCATTTGGCCCATCTAGTCCGCAGTATTCCCAACAGTGATTTTTACAATCCAAATCCCATTTGTCGCCAGGAACATAATTCCTTCTTAAAACCTACAGTGAGGTCCTATTTCATTGCTCATAACGACAATGACAATTATTACAATCAGAATCCATCTGCTTAAAGTATTACTTTGTGGCTAATCATAGCGACAGAATTAGCTGCGCTAAGAGCCAGGTTAATGCAATCTAATGCAACTCCTTTGTAACTGGACTCGCAAAGACTATAGACTCAGTTGGGAGAGACTAGGAGGCAGTTCAGGGGTAATTCAGAGGTTTATTTATCCATATTCAGCAATGATTCAAGCAGTAGTGCTCTTACCCAGGCAGGTATCTGGAGCAGAGAGAGGGACCCTGATGTTCCTGTAGAAGCCTGTCTGGCACAGTTGGCAGTGCTGCCCCTCTGTGTTGTGCCTACAGTTGTCACACACTCCACCACTGTGATTACCTGATGCCAACCACACCTTGAGGTCAAAATGGCAGCTGTTTGCGTGGTCGTTGCATGTGCATTCTGTTACAAGGGGAAAAATAATAGATAATAATCCCTTCAAATGAGTGAGACAGGACTAAAACTTATTCAGAAATGCTAAATGATTAATTTGTCTGTATTAAAGTTTCTCCTGAATGACTTTCCAATCTAGAAATAGGCCATTTTGGCCAGCCAGACTTCGATGGTCTTTATCCTCTACACAAACTGTACGTAATTCTGACATCAAAATGTTTCAATCTCCCTTTGCCACTTTTTAAAAATAGAAGGTAAACTCAATTCCTGATTTTAAATCTCCAGCACCAGGTGAGAGGGCAGCAGTGAGCTGGGGTTGGGGTTGGGGGTCGGGGGGGTGGTGGTGGGTGGTGGTGGGTGGTGGTGGTGGTGGTGGGGAGGTGTTGCTAGGGCAGAGAGAGTGTCCACCCACTGTTGGGGGCCATCACAGACAGAGGCCCATTAAGATTACAATGGCGCACATTTCACAAAAGATCTAGGAGAAGGCAGTGGATCACACAGCAAGTTGGCAAGTGTGGCATATCCACCAGGGCCTGTATCCCAGGCCTTTGGACTGGTGAATCCTTGTGGGCAGGCCAGGCCACACGGGGCCTTGGCCAGCACTGGAACAGAGCCAAGGACTGCACCCTAACTCACCAGCAACACCCTCAGACCCTGTGCAAACAGAAATGCTCCTCAGGACTCAGCAAAATAACACACTGCTGTCCACACTGTATATCTACTGGACTGTGGGCACAGGGAGCTGAGGTGGTGCTAGGGCAATGTAGTCAGGAGGTGGGGAGGGTTTCAGGGGGTGAGGAGTGCATCAGAGGCATCGAGGTGATGAGTGAGTCAGGGGCGTGGGGAGAGAGTGTCAGGGGGTATGGCACTAGCCAGAGTGCGTCACGTCTGTGGATCTTCCCCTCTGCTCACCGACGTGGGTCAGTGCTGCAGTGACCACCCCGCCAAGCCAATAGCAACCCTGACACAGTGTTCATAATTTATTCCACTCATGTCTGGAATCAATCCCGAGACGCAACACTCTCTGGCTGTGTATGCCCGGCTGTTACTTGTTAGAATGATACAGTCACACAGGATAGGAGGAGAAGACCATTCACCCCATTGTTCCTGCGCCTCCATTTTGAAAGAGTTTTTCAATTAATCCCACTCCCCTGAATCCCTGTGCTTTTTCTCCACAGCCCTCCAAATTCCTCCTTTCCAAATATTTACCCCATTTTCTTTCGGATATTACTGTGGAGTTGGCTTCCACCAATCTTTCACATTGTCATAACAACCTGTGCCATACCCTTTAATATCCCACTCCCAATATTCCTACTCTCTTCAATCCCAACATAAATCTAGAATATCCTGAGGAATAGAATTTCACTTCCCGTAATCCTCAGTATCACATCCTAAACTATAGCTTCTTCCCTCGTAGACTATAATATTCCAGCCTGTTTAACCCCTCTCCAGAACACAGAGAGACATAGAAATATTACAGCACAGAAAGAGGCCACTGGAGTTGTGCTGGCTGGATAAACCACTTCCTCATCTCCTTTTTGCCAATGACCTTCAATCTCTATTCTCTGGATATTCTCCCTCCTGCTAGTGGGAACAGTTTCTCCCCACTTTTTCTCTGAAGCCCTTCGTGGTCTTGAACATCCAGGAAAGTGCTCCTGAATCTCCTCTGACCCCAGAAACCAATCCTAGTTTCTCCAGTCTCTCTGCATCCTCTCTTCTCAGGGACTGTTAAATGTGCGCCGCGTCCAAAGAGATCTGCAGTCAGAGGTCTATAGCATGGAAACAGGCCCTTCAGCCCAACATGTCCATGCTGCCCAGTTTTCACAATTAAACTAGTCCCATGTACCTCTGTTTGGTCCATATCCCTCCATACCTATCCCATCTATGTACTATCTAAATGTTTCTTAAATGACAAAATTGTATTCGCTTCCACCATTACCTCTATCAGTTCATTCCAGACACTTACCACCCTTTGTGTGAAAAAAATGCCCCTTTGGACCCTTTTGTATCTCTCCCCTCTCCTTTAAATCTATGCCCTCTTGTTTTAGACTCCCCTACTACAGGGTAAGACTGTTGGCTATCTACCTTATCTATGCCTCTCATGATTTTATAGATCTCTATAAGGTCACCCCTCAGTCTCCTATGCTCTAGGGAAAAAAAAAAGTCTCAGCCTATCCAACCTCACCTCATTACTCAAACCTTCCAGTCCAGGTAGCACCCTAGTAAATCTTTTCTGCACCTTTTATATTTTGATAATATCCTTTCTATAGCAGGGTGACCAGATCTGCACACACTTCTCCAAATGTATCCTCACCAACGTCTTGTACAGCTGCAACAAGACATCCCAACTCTTGTACTCAATACTCTGACTGATGAAATAAGCATGATGAAAGCCTTCTTGTTACTTACTCTGACATGGATTCGCAGTTCCCTTCTTGCCATCTGCTGGTTTCCACAGTCGGTCATTGTATAAAGGCCTGCACCGTTCACAGTGCTCCCCCACAGTGTTGTGTTGACAGATACACTTCCCATGGACCTGTCAGAGAAAAGCATGGAGAACTTCAGGAACTGGAGAAGGAGCTAGTCATCACACAGTGACAGACTGGAAGAAATAACCTTTACGAAGTGTAGTCACTTGCATTATGTAAGAAACACAGCAGCCAATCACATGCATTCATCTCCCCCAATTCAGCAATAAAACAAACCAGCAGAGAATGTTTCATGAGGGCTCAGTATTGATTGGAAAGGCAGACAGAATGCTATGCCTCCTTGAGCATTCACTGGTGCGTTGGCCTGGATAAGATACTCAACTGTTTAAATCTTCATGCTTCCAAAGAAATGGTGCAAACACAGGCTAAAATATATTTCCGTGCCCAATCCTACTCCTTTTGCTCCCCATAACCTTTAACCTCCCACTCCGGCTCCTCCCACTCTCCTCAATCCCGATATAATCTAGAATATCCTGAGGATATTCTAGATTATATATTCTAGATTCTATTCTATTCTATTCTATTATATTATATTCTAGACTATTCTATATTCACTCACTCACCCACACCCCATAATCCTCGGCGTCACAACCTAAACCATTGTTTCCTCCCCCTAGACTATAATATTCAAGTCTGTCTAATCCCTCCCCAGATAGCACAGAACCATAGAAAAACTAAAGCACAGAAAGAGGCCACTCTGCCCATCAAGTCTGCACTGGCTGAACAAACTAGCTGCCTATTCTTTTCCCACTTTCCAACCTCTGATCCGCAGCCTTGGAATTACAATGTTTCGGTGACAAACCCAGATTCCTTTTAAGTGAGTTGAGGGTTTCCACCTCAACCTCCAAAGCTGGGCAAGGAATTTCAGACACTCACCATTCTCTGGGTCAAAAGTCTCTTCTGTGTCCCCTCTCATCTTTCTACCAATCACTTTAATACTGTGCTGCCTGGTAACTGACTGCTCCACAAGGGGAGACGGCTCTTCCCTGTCCATGCTACCCAAACCCCTCATTGCTTCGTACACTTCAATTAACTCATCCTCCAGCCTCCTCTGTTCTAAGGAAACCAGCCCTAATCTATACAATCTCTCCCCAGAGCTGCAATGTTCAAGCCCTGGCAACATTCTTGTAAATTTCCTCTCTAAAGCAGTTATGTCCTTCCTGTAATGTGGTGACCAGAACTGTACACAAACCTTGAGCTGTGGCCAAACCAGTGCCTTATTTAGTTTCAGCATTACACCCCAGCTTTTGTACCACATCCAGAGGAAAGTATCCCTTATGCCTTCTTTACCTTATTTACCTCTCTCGCCACTGCCTGGGACCAATGGACATGCATTCTAGGGTCTCTTGTCTCATCTACCCCTCTCAATATCCTCCTGTTTATTATGAAGCAAAGGAATATGTTTGCCCCCGCAAAAGTATTACCTCCCATTTTTCCAGATTGAATTCCATTTTCCACTTTTCTGCCCATTCAACCAAACCATTGATGTCATCCTGCAGTTGGTAGCCATCATCTTCACTGTCAACTACAATTTTTGGGTGGTCTGCAAATTTTCCAATCGTACCACCCACATTAAGTCACCTTTTAATACTCTGTTTTATCAAGCAACTAATTTCTTCCCAAAAATTTTTATTCTACGGTTCAACTCAAATGGTTTGAGGCAGGGAATTTGTCATTTTGTGGAATAATTTTAAAATTTCTCTCCCCATTCTATTTGTGATGATCAATTTGTCACTTTTGTCACCATCTCCTTACCTATTTTATCATTATCCTTCATAAACTGTCAGCTATCCTTTACCTTTTTGGCTCTGGTGAATAACCTCAAGAACTGCAATGCCTCATCTCCAGTCACACCTTTGCGAGTGCTCCCATATCTTCCAGAAATGAGGCCCAAACTGTACACAATGCTCCTGCCCATGTTAGCACGGTCTTTCTGTGTTCAAACATACTTCCCTTCTTCAATTAACCGTGTCTCTAGCTCAGAAGCAAATGATTCTGTTCCTTCATGGCCTTTAATGAATGCATTTCCAACCTATTTTTATTCTCTACATTTAACATGTATCACCTTTCCCTAACCTTCTTCCAGAAACTATCACTTCAAAACTTCCTTTGTTTCATAATTGATTCTCAGGTTATGAATGTCTCTCAGAAGATCTCATTTATTGTTCATCCAGAATATAAACTTAAGAGGTGGCCCAGACTTAAGAGGTGAGAAAATAAAATTTATGACAGATGCGAAAAGTACCTGCAGCTCTACAAAGTGTAGTAATTGTAGGGTTAACTAAAAGAAGGAACACGTGGAAGCAAAAGGAAGACATGAAAAGATATTGGCAGTTAAAATTAAGGAACAGAAAATTCAATGGACACTTGAAGGAAATAAACTTACAGGATTATGCAGGAAGGGTAGGAAATGGATTAAATCATGATGGTCATTAGGAGAATTGATATAGACATGGACCAAATGGCCTTCTTCTGCATCATAATACCGTGGGGTTAATGTGGGGGAGTAGGGCTGACTGAATTCTATGAAGAGCTGGCACAAACATAATGGGATGAATGGCCTCAATATATTACTCTACATCCCTAGCTGCCTTCAAGATGGTGGGTGACGCACCACTGGCCTGCTATTTGTGGAGCAGATTTTACTGCTGTTTGTATCAACACATCAGCCTAATCATAAACATCGGGTTTACTTTTAAAAACTGATTGAATTATCTAGTGTTTTTTAAAAAAAACAAGCATTTAAAAAAAATCTCAACATCGCTGGCATCCATTGTCCACCCAACCTTGAGAAGGTAGTACAGCATCAGCTTGCTTTATTGTGTGTATGGGGTTTGGCAGCTTTATCTCCCAAGTACCACTTCTTGAGTGCAAGCTGTTTTCTATAAATCTATTTGACAGTAACATAGATACACACATTCACTTCAACGCAGGACAGCTTTTGTCTCCTTCCAGGTCACTCTACATAGACAAGTGACATTGGCATCATTGATACATCATCAACAAGCATTCCCCTCGTGACTCTATACTTTATAGAGAGCCAGAGTCGAGGATGGAGCTGGTGGTGGAGTGGTATTGCCACTGCACCAGGAGTCCAGAGCTCAGAGTCTGGTTTGTGAATCGATGCAGAGTGACACCAACAGCAGGGGTTCAATTCCTGTACTAGCTGAGGTCACCATGGAGGATCTGCCTGAGGCAAGATAACCCCTGGGTTCATCTCACCATGAGTCACCTCTTTCTAATGAGACAGCAGCCTGGGGTGCTCCGGCACGAGGGAAACTTTCACAGTCATTCACTGATCCAGCACAGTCTGGGGAATTCCTCTGCAGCAGATGGTGAGATTTTGATTCAATTGATGTATTTGAAACTAAAAGCTAGTTTCGTGTTGACCACAAAACCATTGGTGTTAAAACCCAGGTGGTTCACTGAAGTCCTTCAGGGAAGGAAATCTGCTATCTTCACCTGATCTGGACTACATGTGACTCCAGACCCACAGCAACATGGCTGACTCAAAGTCCCTCAAACAGCTTAGCAAGTCACTCAGTTGTGTCAAACTGTTCCAATGTCTGATAAAGGTAACAAAACCAGAAAACATCAACCAAGGGACTAGAAATGACAATGGCACATACACACAGCCCTCAATTTCACTGCTCCATGACTGTCACTGGGTCAAAACCCAGGAACTCCCAACAGCCTTGCAGGTGTCCCTATTCCGCATGGACCACAGCAGTTTAAGGTGGCAGCTCACCAGCCCCCTCTCCAGGACAGTAAATGTTGGCCCAGCCAATGATGTCCACACCCTACGAATAAAAATAGAGATGTTTTTAAAAAAGTGTGAATGGGAAAGGAGGCACTCCCACAATCCTGTCAGGTGTGGCATTCCAAAATGTTGATGCAGCAGTAGTGAAATATTGTCAGGCATGTCCAGACAGGATCTGAACCTCTGAGCACACATTACTCCAACTAGAGGAGTCGCCATTCACATACCTTTTCTATATGAACACCAAGTCTTTGATGTTCAAATTTGCCACATTCTGCCCTGGCTACCTTTTGCACTTTGTTGAGAAAACGTATCATGTCAGAAACTGCAGTTCTGCAACACTCTGTATGGGTTATTCTGCTTACTATGGTGCTAAATTTCAGTCAACAATTAGCAACTATATCAAGCAAATCTGCAACAATTTGACTGATGCATCTTTATGCTCAGTTCCTTGGAATCATGTAGTTCTGGACGTGAAGTCACTAACCTCCAAATGGGACTTGGCAGATGTACAGTTTAATTGATTCTTTTTTTCAATTGGATGTTCAACATTTGTTGCCCATCCCTAAGGGCCCTTGAACTGAGTGGCTTTCTAGGCCATTTCAGAGGGCAGTTAAGAGTCACTCACATTGCTGTGGTCTGCAGTCGCATGTAGGTAAGGATGACAGTGTCCCTCCCTAAAGGACATTTGGGAACTAGATGGGTTTCTGTGACAAATAATGATGGTTCTCAGGGACACATCCACCAAAATGACTTTTCATTTTCAGATTTATTAATTGAATTTAAATTTCACCAGCTGCCAGGCTGGGATTTGAAGCCGTATTCCCAGAGCATTCATGTGGGCACCTGGATTTCCAGACGAGGGACATTACCAATCTCTTGCTTGGCGGGTCTGGATAGGGAGTAGTTCCCATTGGAAAACTGTTGGCTTGACGATGGAGGAGGTTCATGTAGTATAAGCAATTGGCACAATGGTGACAGCTACGAGGAGCCCAGCTAGCTGTTTGTCATCGACGCTGTGCCCAGCATTGGAAGGTAGCATGACCAAAGAGACTACACCCTCGAACAGTAACCCCCCTGCCCCCACCGAGTGTCGTATCTGCGGTAGACCCTCACTAGTGGGCAATTATGCCACCTCCCTTTGTTTTGCAGAGTGAGTGTGATTGGCTCCTTCAATAACCTGGAGTTGCTATGTATCTGTCAGACCGTACTTCCACGTTCACACTGCCATCAGTATAACTGCGGTTCCCATCAACTGTCTGTGATATCAAAGATTGAAGATTCAGC